TTGTGTCCGAATAGGTGACCCTCAGAAGGGACCCGCACGTATCCAGAAAGTCGGATGATAACTTCCTTGCATAACAGTTAGCTGAACACGCTACTGGCGTTTTGATAAACAGGTCACAAGTGGTCCACAGAAATGCTCCAAGACTCGTCCAATTGCTCACCTTTTTTCCTTCAACTCCGCCTCGGAACGTATATCAAGTCGAAGAAGAGCGTGCTGGGAGTACTCGATAAGCATCCTAGCAAGAACGGAGAGGTTGACATGATAGAGGCACACGATCGAGTCAGCATTAAAATCCTTGGCACTTGAAAATTCCTACAATCGAAAAAAGAGTCAGAAAGAAAAGTAAGCAGATGCCGATCATCACAAAAGAGAACCACACGAATTCGCCAGAGCACGGCACAACACTTCGACCGTTACATCTGACGATGGCCACCGCGTGCTTTACAACAGGCTGGAAGCAAGCGAGGTGACTTGCGCACGAGTTAGTTTTAAATAATAGTAGTAAGAAGACATGGCGAGCACCGCATCCGGTGCTCGATATGTCTTCTTCCTTATCCATGCAGATACCTGGAACGCGAACTCTTTCATTCATTCGTAAATAATAGTAGGTTTGCGCTGCATCCACTGCACACTCTTTGTCCGGTGTCACGAGAGTTAGGCAAACCCACGAATCCCAACTCACACAGTATGGGCTTCCGTGCCATATAACCCATAATACACCACCTGGTCACAGCGTACAATTAACCAGGATTTTAACACACAGCAAGAGGGTAGGGGTAGCAGCTCAGATCTCAGTTCAGAAAAGGTAACATCAATCTGATCAAAACGATCACACCGTTGCCCCAAAATGACTGAATGCTTTGGAAATGGAAATACTTCAGTTGGCAGAGAGATTCTTGGAAAATTAGGGTGGAGGGTGGAGGAATACTACAAATATGGCAACCTCTTGTGACCGATAGGTAGGGTCAAAAATCTGCCAGGGTGCTGGGACGTGACTCGATGCATTGACGGCGGAATATCTGCCCAGTATGAACACACAGTTCGAGGACCAGAGGTAACCGCAAATATAGCGAAAACTGAGCAGGCTACGTTTCGTTGAGGATGCACGAAAAATGAGATTTAGATTAGTAAAAGTAGTTTTAAAGTTAACGCATCGTGTTTGAAAATAGAACGCATAGTTCACGGAGACTGACGATTTTTAAAACAGGCAGAAAACTACCCCTACGAAAATGCAGCTAGGTAGTTCTGTTGTCCCCCGCCAATGCCAGGCTGTTGACTAACAACAACTGCGAGGAAATTGTGCAAATGAATGGCTGTGATGCGTTCAACCAAACTACCGCCGCACTAGGTATACACATCTGTGATGCATTCGGCGACTGCCAGATGACTGAAATCGAAATGATCAGCTAGGGGTACCGAAGACACTGTGCATTCCCCACCTCGATTTAACGTGTTATGGAAGAGGTATGGCAATTGCGTTTTAAATACCTCTGGGTTATTTTACCCACGAAAAAGTTTAAAATGTTTGGCAAAAATCGAGTCTATCTTAAATTTAGGCAACTGCCCATGTTAATCACTTTACTGCGTTTCTCTAATAGGCAGCATAAATAAAAACGATAAATGTCTACCAAAAATATGATCGCTAACTTGAAAATCGATATTCTCTTTTGCGTAAATCAGCCGAGTCAAGACGTCTAGAAACACATTTTTGTCATAAAAGCGTTTTTTCCTCTTTAAAAATGTACGTTTTGGCCTGAAAAGCAGAGATAATGTCTATAGACAGTCTTCTGTTTTAGCACATCCTCAATTTGCATGCACATGCAACTGTTCCATAAGTAACAACGAACGGGTCCACCACCAAGCAACCACATTAATATTTGCGCACATGTTCAGTCTACTTTTTGACAATACGTG